GTTCATCCTTAACGAACGCATAACCTGGTACATGCTCTTTCTGCTCGGGACGTTCTCGTGAAAGAGGTCGCCTCCATGGAGGACCATGTCAACGTCGTGCTCCTTCGCCAGACACATGATCTCGTGGAAGGTCTTCCAGCTATCGTCTTTGCGGACGGCGTCGCGCTCGTTGAATCCGACATGGCTGTCTGTTGCGACAAGGATGCGGATGGTATCGGCGCCTGCGAAGGATAGTTAGTATTGCATATTGTTCGTTCCAGAGTGAACGGAAACAGTACCTCGAGGCGCTTGTCGTGGCGGCATTGCGTAGTATTGAGGATCTTCTGCCAGGTGGTTGCGATATCGATTGTCTGAGTCGCCGCTGGTCTGCTTTTATATGCGTGCTGGCTCAAGCATAAAAGCGCGCGCTGCTGCCTCAGCTACTCACAGGGCCCAGCGTCACAGGCGTAGTACGAATCGAGGGCACTTCACCATGCGCTCGATGATTGGGAACGCGCAGGCTGAAGCGCGCGCCGCTAAATGGGAACAAGGGTAGATCTGCGACGCCTGCTCACATGACCATCTTCACTCGCATTCGGCAAAGCTTCACGAACCTCAACTCTTCATCGCATCCAGCAATGAACCCCACACGAGCACTCTGGGCGCGATCAGTATGGAAGGGTAAGCCAGCATATCTTTAGTTGTACTCCACCGCTAATCAACGTCTCCAGGGCCGAACATCGTGCCGTAAGTGCCGCAATACTCCAGCGTTCAGAACTGCTTCTCAACACACCACAGCCTCCCGATCGTAAAGCCAAAGGCCGGTGAAAAAGTCCCTCCGATCAAAACACAAGCGCGCTCTGCGACAATACTTCCCAGCTTCGTGGGCTTGAAGTTCCAGATACACAACGGGAAAAACTATCTCGATTTGACGATATCGGAGGACATGGTCGGGCATAAACTGGGAGAGTTTGCGTCGTACGTCAAAGCCACACCCAAACTCATCGTGATGGCTGGACAATGGGATGCTGATGATTTCACAGGACACGGAAGAACTTCACGTACAAGCAGACGAAGAACAAATAGAGGCTGAGAAGGAAATGCATTGTATTGGAGTTTTTGGGTATCTTTTGGGAGGCTCTGTGTAGCCGTGTCTGTACCCCGAGTGTACAAATATTGTACTCTTGCCGTCATGGGCAGGATGATTCCAGAGTATCAAACCCGTGCTAAGACTAGGCCATGTCAATTCCCAACGCCGTGTTGTGATGCAAGTAGTCTGGATGTCGAACGCCGATAGTGCCTCCGTTCTCCGTTTGTAGGCGGTCATGCGGCAAACGCTTAGGTTCACTCCGCCCCAAGTCATGGAATGCTCACCAAAGCATTTACCGATAGAACTCCCCCCTCTTGATATTGACGCCGTATTCGCCCACAGCCATGCCAAGATCTTCCATAGTCAGCACTGTTCGTCCCTGACTGCCACCCTGTCCACCTCCGCCGTAGCCTGGCCTCTGAACACCAAGATTGGTGCCTTTACCCGCGTCTTTTCCACCCTGCGCTCCTGCTGCTGCGCCAGGTGCACCCGGAGGACCTCCACCAGCTGCGGCGCCCAAGCCTCCCATTGGATTGTTGCCGGTCGTATTGGAAGATCGTATACGGGAGTATTGATAAGCGTCTGCAGCAATGTCTGCTATGAACTTCTGAGTTGCTAGGGCGAGGAGGCGGGCAAGATGCGGGGACGTTTGAGGCGGGGGTGGGAGTCCAGCGAGAGTCAGGTAGTAGTTTGTGACTGCGTCGGGTATCTGGACACGTTAGTATATCTAACATGATATATTCTAGGCGCAAACGGGAACGTACAATTGGCGCATAATCATCCATCTTCCCTAGAAACTCGCGCAATGTGGCATCCTTCTTCGCTGGTATCCGCGCCTCTCCAGACGGTGCATCTGGCAGGCCGTTTCTCGTAGGGGGCTCTGCATCGTTTGCGCCATCCAAGTTCATCGCATCTGGCTGTGTTGGGCCATTGCTAACGTCCGCCTCCAGGGTAGCGTCCAGATCTTCAGTCACCTCCATGCTGGAGTCAGCTGCCGGTGGTTGCGCGCCGTCTGCCATTATGCGGGGTAGTGGGTGAGAGTTGACCTGGTGGGTGGTGTCGCGCGCGCGCTCGTGTAGGGTGTCTCAAGGGTATGATGCGTAGCAGGAACAATGCCGCGGTGAATGCGCTGGGGAGCCGAACTTTACCCGCCAGCCAATCACAGCGAGCTGCCTGAGAATGCTCAGCCGTGGAACTCAACGTCCTCAACCGATGAACGTGAACCTCTCACTTTCGGGCGGCTGCAGACACCGCTTCTCTCGCCGTTCCCAATCCTTCCAAATGCTCGTTAGTTGAATCTACACCAATCTTACTATCAACAAACGCTCGTTAAGAGGCGCCGGTGTCAATCTCTCATGCTTCACTGCTGGCTACGATCATGTGTCTGGGCCCATGGTAAACACTCGAGTTTAAGTCCTAAAGTGCTCACTGGTTCCACCGGGCCACGTCGTCTCTATACGGAACTCCAAGGCTCTCTCCTTGCCTAACCGAGCGTGGAGACTCTCAGCTCCCAAGGTCACACAAACCATTTACCTGTCCAGGTGCTCTTCTTTCTTTCCACGTGACGTACAATCATTCATTTTTTCCAGACTTTTGCATAACTCCTTGCTCAGAGCAAAATCACCTCCATCCGCAACTGCCAATAGCAAGGAAGGAGCCAATACTACTTTCCTGAAGTCGCTCACCTGTTCATTTCTGTATAGTCGTTTGCGAACTGGATACTGTCGAGTCGAGGACCTATGGCACTGACAGGCCTGCCAACGGAGTTGCTCGAGCAAATATTTCATTCGCTGGAGAGCATTGACGACGTCCATCATCTGGCTCGAAGCTGTCAGGCTACCTATCATGCCATACGACAGCATAGTGTCTATGTTGAAGTAATGCGCTCAGTAATCAGCCAGTCTATCGTCCATAGGTTTGATTTACAACTGTGTTACCTCCTTGATCTCCACCGAGAAGTTGTGAAGCACTTCGAGAAAAGTGGCAACTTGTTGCCTCAGACGCGATAAGTGCTCGCTCATACTAGTTCACTCACTCCCTTGCATATTTACGGGCTACTATTGTTCAAGGTTCATTGGAAGTCACAAAGAGGTGGTCGGACAAGATCCTGCCCGAGTGTTATTTGACCCACGAAGCGCTTGTACAGGATTCTCTGGCAGTCTCCGTGCTCCTACTTCAAGCAACACTTGGACTCTAAGCTGTTCCACTAATCTAATACGTGTACAGGCTTGACCCGAGAGATCATGTACCCAACTTCAATCCTTGGGAATCTACGTTCGCGCGCGCCTGTCTCGATTCCGATCACGTTGTCAATCGATTCGCTGCTCCCCGAACCCTCTCCAACCTATGCATTTCCGAAATCCTCGCAAGATGGCAAGGGCTGCGCGTCCTCCAAGACATGTGGCTGTCGAGGGAGCTCCGTAAATCTGACTACCTCTCCTTTGCCTTCAGCGGTAATCGTGCATATTTGGTGGCCTCTTACCATAGATTGCTAGAGCGCAGTGATAACTGTCCAGATGCGACGTCATCACGATACTCGGAACACACTAATTCCTACACAAGCTTGAATGCTGGTCAGAGAGTACGTTTTCATGCTGCAATGACGGCGGTATGGTATCTGAATGAGGTACGATGATGGTTGTTAGCAGATTTCGAGACAGTCAACGTTGTATGCGCCCCGCTCAAGATTCTGGATGAAGGCATGGAAGAGGTCGAGAGACAAACTGAGACCACTCTACTCGACCAAATAGATTTATTAGCCATGTACCAGTTTCTCTACCAACACCTGCTGCCTAGTTGAATTACTGTAGGGGGGTGTATATGAATTGGTACATTGTATGTTCTAGCTAGGTACGTAGGCGTAGTGCCTTTTATACTCTAAGTCTAGGCCTGTGCGCAGGCATAGGCTACACGTGACTAAGTGATTCCTGATTCACTAGTCAACTTGCCTCTGCATCTCCCAGCATTAGCAGATCAACCAAATACGAGGCTGCCACTCACCTTCTCATCTGACTTTGACAAAGTCCCACAACACTCCGCAAAATCCCTCCAACTCTGTCTGTACTCCGGACAGACCTATCTATATACAACCGCCAGACCTCGTGGAACTCGCCTTTCGAAACACGCTCCAACGTTGATACCCCTATCCACTGCCGCATCCGACAGACTCAACACACAGCCACATGTTCCCATCCCGTACCGTCTTCCCACTCAACCTCAGTATCAAGGATCACCAGGCGCACAATACGCACTTCGTCACCGCGCATCCACTCTAGTCAATATCATCTAGCGCGCTTCCGTCACCCAGACCTCGCATAACTTGACCCGAGGGATTCAACAACAGGACTTATTGCCCTTGTTTCAGATCCCGGACCAATTGGAAGAATGGCTGACTAGGAGGTGTCTGGAAAAGTTTGACATAAGGGCGAGGAGGGATAGACAAGACGTTGAGGATATTTGGGAGGTGGAATGGATAAAGATCAGATGGCAGATTTGGTGGTGGGCGGATAGTGAGGAGAAGGCTAGAATGAAGATGGAGAGAGAGGTGGAGGGAGGATCGATAGAGACTGGGTATGGAGATATGCTTTCAAGGTAGCATATGGTTAGCAGGAATCTTACTATATAACTTGTCTCGAGGTTAATTGTCTGAAAGAGGAGGGATGGAGCCACCACGGGAACCGATTTGTTTTGGCTCTGCCTTTGGAAGATGAATTAGTATTGCTCGATTGAACCTCATGTCTAGCTAGATAACGAACAGTTGACCTTGTGCGTCCAACCTTTTGACTGTCCGAACGGCGTTCAAGACGTTTCGCTGTTGGACAACGGAGTAACAACCAATTAGTCAAAAAGTATCATAATAAATCGAAAAAAAATGTCCTCAACCAGCATGATTCCCACCTAAATTGGAAGCAAAGAAAAAGAAAAGGAAGATTGGATGCGCTGAGAATCGAACTCAGGCTTCTCACAGGGCCCAGCTACCTGCTCACTACTCAGCATTCGTCCACTTAAAGGCAGACCATCGCCGGGTTTAGAGCTGGCTTGCTTTTGGTGTGAGCGTCTTGCCACTAGACTACGCGTCCTTGATATATTGTATGTGAAGAGAAATGACGCCTGTGTGGTTGATATGCTTAAGATGAGAAAAGGAAAAGTCTATAGCGTAATAGACATCCAGTGAAGTAACATGAAAGCCTCGATTCTCCAGACAATTACATTGTCCAAGAAGTAAGAAATTGAACACTTGTCTATTGACTACTTTTGAAGCGCTTCCACTTCGGTGCTGGCGAACATAAATGGTCCCGCACCTTTGCCATCATTCTCACTCAATGGAACCCCGATGTAATACTGCTTCAATTAGCATGGCTCATCTGTCGGAATAGGTCTTCTTACCTCGTAGCTACCATCGCCATCTAGACTGCCTACCTCGACCGTACCTTCCCAACTCAGCGTTCCGTTAGCGTCTCGCTTTACAAACTTCTCCACCATAAGATTGTACGCCCTTAACGCGGTTTCTTGGTAGCTGGCTTCCAGTAATCCCGTTCTGATAGCTTTCAAGTACCCATACGTGAACATGGCCGTCGCGCTCGATTCGATGTAGTTGCTTTCCATCCCAGGATAGGGCTCGTCCATGATAAGCCACCACCCGCCAGACGCATCCTGAGCTTTCTTCAACGCCGCTGCAAGAGCCGTCAAATAATTCTCCAGTCTCGCATAGCCTGCAAGCTTTTGCGGATAAACCTGAAGGACTTCGACCAAAGCCATGAAATACCATCCGACCGCACGATCCCACACGTGGGGTGACGCTCCCGTCACAGGATCCGCCCAAACAGCCTTCTTACTCTCATCATATCCGTGCGCCAACAGTCCACTTGTCTTATTCCTACAATGGGTTTCGATCAAGTCGAATTGACGCGCGATATCCTCCCACGCCGTCGTATTCTCAGGCTCGAAATAAGACGTGTAAGTAGCATAGAACGTCTCAGCCATATAGATCCCGTCAAGCCACATCTGATTCTTGTAACTCGGATTGCGATGCCAGAAACCTCCACTCGGCGTCCGCGGATACTGATTCAATTGCTCTCTCAGCGCGGCTACCGCCTTCTGGTACTTGGTCGCCTTCCTACCTTCCGAGTCCCAGAAGTAGAGGATGTTGTTGCCGACTCTTATGTCATCTAGCGAATAGTAATTTGGGTCCCATCCCAACAGCGTCCCATTCTCGGCAACTAGGCTTGAAATTGCGCTGGAGGCTGTGGCGAGTAAAGAGCTGTTTTGGTGAAGTGTGGCGGCTTTTTGGATGCCTTCGTATAGTACGTTAGCGACGTAGTGGCGGTCAATCTTGCGCTGGGGCTTGCTGAGAAAGGAGGTTGCCATCCATGTCGAGTACGGTTGGGTAGCAGCAGGCGCCGCGAGGATGTTAGTGGTGCACGTGAGGATGGCTAGGGCTAGAGCTGGCAAATGCATAGTAGAAGACGGCCAAAGGTGAGAATTACAAGGACACAATTATGAAACGATGTGTAGGGCGATATGGAAGTCTGTATTGAAGCCGGGAACCGACGTTGCGTGGGTTAATATACGATTCATATCGAGCAATCGGCCAGACTTATTAGAATCGTAATATAGATGTACGGGTCCGCCCAGTGAGCTAGGAGCTGGCGGATGATCGACCGGAGATTTCTCAACATCGACTTGGACTCGGGGGAAGTCATTGCGAAAGCTACAACGAGGGCTGTCGTTGAAGACGCGGAGACTTGACGATGGCTAAGACGGAGAAATATGTTGCATGCGCCTAGTGGACGTTGTGATCGGCGTGCTAAAACCATCGGCCAAACTCAGCCAGCCCGAAGTGCTTGGGTGGTAGAACCGCTGAAGCAAGTTCGGGGCAAAGAATGGAGGAGGTTTTGAGTGTGGAAGAGAAAACGTGTTTCGTGACCTCGAAAGTTGAGTGCAACCTTGAACTAGCTCAAGTTCGGCTTAGCCTCCCTTTACTGACACTTCTGTCTCTTCAATCATCAATACCTCAGCCTCCACACAGCTGATCAGCTCTTGTATCGCATTATCTCTCTCGATGATGCTACATTTCTAACGCTATCTTAAGTCTTATTATAGCGTACTCCATGCTCAGTACGGCTATTCAATGACACGTTCTGCCGCGCATCCTGGCAACTTTTAGCGACCTGGATGGCGAAACGATCTACCAGCTTTCGGCCTGTCATAACACTAAAGGATCCCTTGAAGCTATCACTATCTTCTGAAGTGGACATCCGTCGATTTGGTCTTCAAATACCCTCAATATTGAGGATCCAATCCGGATGGCTACCTACTAGAATGGACTTCAGGGCTACGATCAAAGCTCCAGTACTTGCTGATGATGATTGAGAACTGAGTGCGGCACTCGATATTCCATGTAGAGCATTTTCGTGTACTACAAATCTGTTACCTTCTCTTGTTCTTGTCTATATCTCTCCGCTTTAGTTAGTGTAGGTTGATATGAAAATGACAGCTAGGCACCCAGAGGAGGCAAACCTTAACGACTCTCCCGATTCTTAATCAACGGGACCAAAGGATGGGCTCGCTTCGGTATACCTAAGGATATAGAGGCACTAAGCGAACGGCGGTTGTATGGTAGGCTATCAGAACTAGTACCTATGGTAGAGGAGTGTTCAAGAGATTTTGTGGCTTGTCTCCGACCTGGATCTTTTTTGTTTCCTTGACCTTCATTGAAGACACATTTCTACTGTCAACAGCCTTCATCATGGCAAACATTGCCATTACCAACTTGATGCTAGTCTTTGCGTTTTTAGGTGAGTGTGATTAGGTTCCTCAGCTCCGTATGGTCGCTGCCGCTGCAGGCAGTTTTGCTACTCATATGTACCTACGTTATCATGCCATGATAAACAGTCCATTCCCAATGTGCTGACGCTGGCCCTATCTAGCGACAACATTCGCATTCCCTACTTTGAACGAATATTCGGTCAAACACGCCGCCCAAAGTCCGTCCTGGACCCAGGTCCAGGGCGCTTCAACGACCCTGCCACGGCCAAAGTACTACACTGAGACGCCGAGACCCAAAGCTCCTCTCTTGATCGGACACCCTGGTTGGTGGAACCGAATAGCATGGAGCGACTGCGAACATATCGACGACTATCATTCGATGAAATGCAAAATAGAAGGAGCCGGAGGCGACATGTGGTCGAAACCAGGCACATGTTATAGACCGCTGCCAGGGCAGATCACTTGCGAACCGCCTGATGGCTGGAAGCCTTCAAACGGAATCGATAGAAAGCCCTACTGGCAATGCGATTATAACGGCGACCCTGTGCCAGACTATCGACGAATCCATACTTACGGTCACTGCCATGTCGAAGGAACCCATAACCCCTTGATACGCGCGAAAGGATACATGGAAAGCAAATGCGAGGGAAAACACGAAAATATATCGTGTGAGCCTCGTGACGATCAGAAGAACGATTACCAGAAAGTCCTCGATTATCTAGATCCAGACCGCCAGGGGCAAATTCATGCAATTTTCCCTGGATTGAAAGCTCCCAATCCCTTTGCGCCAACGGAGAAGGTATGTTTTTAACCAACTGCACAATATAGTCGCACATCGCTGACAACATTCTGCTTCAGGAGTTAAACTACTCGTACGTTGCAGGAAAGCCTCGCTGTTTCCAGACTCAAACAGAGGTTAAAAATGAGCCCCGTATGGACCAAGAAGCCGTTCGCACCGCAGTCCAGGGCTATTGCTCTGCCGAGAGGCACAAGTATGGCGAGAAGAACAGTAATATACAGTTCCCGAGATCAAACGTGGATAGAGTCTTGCATCATAACGATGGTTGGACATCTAAGGTGTATAGCAACGGTACGTTGTTTGGTCTACCTACTACTATCTCAATCAATCTGCTAATTGAACCATCATTATAAGGTATGAAGTACGTCCAAGTCTCTTTGCGCCAAACTTTCGGCGTTCTGCCAGAGTGTAAGGGAGAGCTCTACTTGGAAACGGAGGTTCATTGCTTTCGTCGCATTGCAAAGACGAGTGAGAAATGCGCGCCGCCCGGTCACTCTGGCGACGGGATCTCCATATTTGACAGGTGCATTGTGACTGAGGTCGACGCACGATATCTTAGCGCGGCGGAAGTGTAGAAACTTAAGCACCAGTAACGTTGCTGCCATGAGGCTTTGAAAGTCGATGCCGAACCAGGGTTTGAGGCATATAGGAACGATATTCATCCTCAAGAATACCTCAGACGACATTGGAGTTGTAAGAGCTCATCGCTGGCTTTTATTGGCTTCAAGAAAGAAGCGCTCTATTTGGAATGTCTTCGAGCATTCATTTAGCAATTGAATCATGTTGTTATTGCATAAGTGGCGTACCAATGACCGTGTACTTACAAGATGGAGCGTAAGACTTCGGTAAGAATGAACAATGGTGAGTGACTCAAGAATTACAAACATGAAATATCTAAGTATGTGTGGTTCATCCGAAATGGCTGCTTATCTTTACGCATTAGACTATAGTCTACCATAGCAGAGGAATGAATTACGTATCATTCCCTCTGGCTCAATAGCCACTCTTTCCCTTCACAATGCCATAGCACGGTCCGTCTTTTCCAAACATCTTCTGCAGATCTTCCGAGATGACATCTGGCCGCTCCCACGCAGCGAAATGTCCGCCTTTCTCATGCTCACTTTGATAGACCACAGGTCCTGAGAATCATCAGCATCAGTAAACGAACGTACATCTTCGCTAGTTAGGAACGACTAACCCATAGTATACCCCCAGAGTTTTGGCACGACACTCAACTCGCGCGGAAAATGCGCAAGACCGAGCTTAACGTTAGGGATCCAGTTGGACACGCTGTCTTTCGAAGGAATGGACTCGGTAGGGTTGTGCATCGCTTCGTAGTATATTCTTATGTGGGCATTAGGGCCAGCGGTGCTGAACCAATATATGCTTATCCAAGTCAGGACCTCGTCATCTGTCCACGGATAGCCGTCGGTCCAGTCTACCAACTTCTCGTATATCCAGGCGAGTAAGGAGACAGGACTGTCGGCGAAGGCATAAGCCAGCGTCTGGGGC